TTCCAATCCTGTTCTGAGGGAGTGTGCTGAAGTTCTGGCCCCTGTGCTTCCTCGCCTCTTTTGCCTTTGCCTCAAAACCCAAACTTTTCCTTCTTCTTGGAAGCATACCTTGGTTCAGCCCATCCCGAAGAAGGGTGACCATTCTAATGCCTCTAACTATCGCCCCATTGCCCTGACTTCATCCCTCTCTAAGATTTTTGAAGCTATCTTGAATTCCTATTTTCTCCGTGATCTGCTCTCCTACTGCACCCATTTTTGGTCATCCTCTCTTAGGGATTATGGGGAACTTTCATCGTGGTCCTCGACATCTCCAAAGCATTTTATAGGGTATGGCACAAGTCTTTGTTTTCTAAACTTCCCTCTTATGGTTTCTCTGCCCCACTTTGTTCTTTAATCTCTAGCTTTCTTGAAAACCGATCCATGGCAGTTGTTGTCGAGGGATCGATCTCTCGCTCTTTCTCTACCAATAGTGGCGTCCCACAGGGTTCTGTTCTTTCACCAACTCTCTTTCTTCTTTTTATCAATGATTTACTTCACACTACAACTAATTCTATCCATTCTTACGCTGATGATTCTACTCTTCACTCTTCCTCACATTTTCCCCTTCCTCCTAACTCTCAAACTAGATCTGTTTCTAGAACTAATATCATTACTTCTATCAACGCAGATCTGTGCAGCATCTCTGAATGGGGAGATACAAACTTGGTTAAGTTCAATAGTAACAAAACTCAATATTTACCAATTACACTTTGTAAAGTAGACGATCTCCCACCAATTACATTTCAGGACGCTATCATCCCCCCAAATTCTGAAATAAATATGTTAGGCCTCACCATTTCCTCCAATATGTCCTTAGTATAACTAAAGCTGCCTCCCGAAAGTTGGGAATGCTGTACAGATGCCGCAGTTACTTCACTCCTGAGCAGTTGCTCCAAGTATATAAGGGATTCATTCGTCCTAACTTGGAGTACTGCTCTCATATCTGGGGTGGCTCTTCTTCTGTCCAACTATTAGATAGGGTGGAATCAAAGGCATTTCGTCATATTAACTCTCCTCCTTTAGTCGACAATCTCTCTCCCCTTTCTCTTCGCCGCAATGTTGCTTCACTCTCTCTCTTTTACAGGTACTTTAACGGGCAATGTTCAGGGGATTTGGCATCCTGTGTACCGCCGGTAAGGCCGTGGGTTCGTAACACACGTCTTGCCTGCGGTGCCCACCATTTCTCTGTTGATATCGGTCACATGAGAATAGCCCGTTATAGTACCTCCTTCTTTCCTCACACAGCCAAACTGTGGAATGCTTTGCCTTCTTCTGTGTTTCCATGCTCTTACAATCTGTCTCACTTTAAAAAGCTGGTTTTCTGGCATCTTCGTGGTGTAGATTAATACAGTATAACCTTTTTTCTATATTTTCAATTTCTTTCCGTTCTTTTTTTTCGCCCCCCAGGCTCCGTTGTGGGTCGTTTGACCTGTGCCCGGGTTGGCTAATTCCCGTAAAAAAAAAAAAAAAAAATTAAGTCAGATTCATGTAAAATTAAAGTTTCAGTTATCCACCAATTTGAAAGTTGAAGTTATGTTCTTCCGATGGTTTTTGATGTGTTTTGAATGATTCTGACCATTTTTACCACAAATCACGAATTTTTTAGTCCCCTAACATAAACCGATCAGAGATTGGTTGATACAAAATCATACCCCCAAACAACATTCAAAGAACAACTGTGCATACATCTAACTCTAGAGCATATGTAATGTAGCATAGTAACCAACAAATGAACACACAGGAGCTCTCTAGGACGGTGGTAACTTAGAATCCTAAAATTTGCTGGATGAACAAAACGATAATAATACCCAGATTCGTCAGAAACAGCACAAAATACACTAGGAAAACCTAGTTTTGTTAGTAGTTTTAGAGGTGTCACTGAAATGCATCGGTAAATTTGCATAAGTGGATCCAACTGAATTTCTTAATTAATAACATGTTTTTCGCATAATTCAGACTATTCTAAGGCACTTTTCAGTATTATTTTACTTTAGGACATAGCACACCCTAAAGTTATAACTACTGAAACATTTAAATCTCCCTATTCTGAGCATTTTGAACCCCATTTATATGGGTCGGAAATGGATAATAGCGATACAATTGAATTCAATTGAATTTACTAACTTTTCAGTCTTCGTCTGTGAGGAGATGTTATCTGCGTGAAACCAAGTTAATTATGCATCACGCATGCACAATATTGACCGACGCCCTCCAGTCGTGACCAATGATGTATCGATATCATCACACGATTTTTTTTCGACCAATCACATTTGAATTTTTTCAAAGGAAGCAGCCTGGGTAGAGATTTGTATTTCAATGACCAGTTTGACAATGGCCGTGGTGGAGGGTGGGTGTGATTTGTGCTCCTACAGGTTCTACACTACAGCTGCTCGACTATACCCACCTCAAGGACCAAGAAACCACCCTTGCCAGGAACGTGCTGCACCTGTGCCACTAGAAGAAGGGTCCTACGAGGAGGAGGTTGGTGACCCTGAACCTATCCCTGGTCCTTCAACTTCTAACTAAGGTAATGTACTTTCGGACATGGCGCATCCCAAAGTTTTAAACTACTGAAGCATTTAGGTTACGTTAGGTTAGGATAAGTTAGGTTAGGGTAGATGACTCGTTATCGTGTTCTCCCCCACCCAAAAACCCCAATTTCCCAGGCTCTCCCCCATTATTGTTAGGGGGGGAGGGGGGGGGGGCAAAAACAAGCAATTAAAAAAAATGAGGGTCAGATTCGCTTAAAACACAACAAAATACACTGGAAAAAAATATTGGTCAACCCCTAGGGTAAGTAAAAATTTACCCACTTTTCTTCTTTGGCATTCCTGTCGGAAATTAATATTTTTAGAGTACTGTATATTAATAGATAAAATGATCAATTTACAGTATCACACCAGTTTTTAATTCCATATTAAAATATGTATCTCATAATGTTTACACAATTTTAAGACATTTTTGTTCTATGATATTTCCACCGGAAATTAAGGATAACCAAAATATTAATTTTTCAAGATTATTACTTTCACTCAGTCACAAGTGTCACCATGATTTCTTTACTTATGGCAGAGGTGGTCTGACCCCCTGCTAATGTATCACTCCAGGACTCCGACAGGGGGTCCAGGGGGGCTTGGTTAGGTTAGATTTTCTTGGATGGTTGGTAATATAGTTTGTTATTTATTCTAAATAAGTTCAATTTATAGTATCACACCGGTGTTTATTCCGCTATTCAAAATAGGTTTTTCCTATGTATTTTGATGAGTTTCGAACGAATTTTATAGTAATTTTCACTGGAAATCATGTGTTTTTCAGATACACCCCCTCCCCAACAAACCGTCCTAACGGAATAAGTTGCATTTATTTTTTTAAGAAATAAATTATATTACCAACCAACCAAGAAAACCTAACCTAACCAAGCCCCCCTGGGTGAGGCCATCAGTAAACAAATCATGGTGACACACTGTGACTGAGCCAAAGTAATAATCTTGAAAAATTAATATCTCGGTTATCCTTAATTTCCGGTGGAAATATCACATTAAAAATATGTCTTAAAATTGTGTAAACATTATGATACATATTTTTAATATGGAAATAAAGACCGGTGTGATACTGCAAATTCACCGATAAATTTACCAACAGTATTACTTGTTTCAAGTGAACAGGGCCTCGAAGTAGAGGGAAAATGTGGAGTAAAATACTAAATATAACACAAACAAACTACAGTATAAATTTAAGACGGAAATGCTATAGAAAAAAGTGTCGAAGAATATTCTATGAGAAAAACGTGTTGGTGTCATATTACCTATTAAGACAATGATTAAATCTTACTCTTTACCTCAAATGCAAACCATGTATACGGAGACACAATATCATAATATAACTCTATTTTCTTGTTGGCCATCACAGAGGCGCCGGTAGACAACACCCGCCTTATCATTGTCTTGTCCCTGAGCCTGAGTGAGATAAACACTCACTGGGAGGCACTACTCACTGCCATGGGTTAGGGTCAACTCGTACCAAAGACAATTCATACCCAAGATAACTCGTACCCATCTCACGAGGTAGACGTACCCAAGATTACTTACACTCAATTCAAAAGATAATCCATACCTATTAGTATATATACCATGCATTTTAACTTTATCTATGATTACAAGAAAAAAAGATTATGTAAATCTTGTAGGAAAGTGCAGTGAAATAGGGAGATGTAATGCAGCGCTTTAAATTGGGTGCATCTCATTACATAAGTATTGTGGGGTTCAGGATGTTTGGTTCACACTCAGGATGGAATGGAGAAAGGAAACTCACAATGTGCTCTCTATATACATGTTGTATTGGATGTACAATGCAGCTTGGTGCTGGGAAGTGGCAGCGTGGTTACAAGCGTGATGTAGAGAGAGCTGGTTGGTGAGGACGCTCAGAGGAGGACAGCTTGTGGGTCGCCATGCTCGGCGGCGGGAGCGAGGGCCGCCAGGCAGGAGGAGGAGCGAGGACCGCCAGGCAGGCGGAGGAGGAGGAGGTGTGTGTGTTGCTAGCTGGTTGGTGAGGACGCTCAGAGGAGGACAACTTGTGGGTCGCCATGCTCGCCGGCGGGAGCGAGGGCCGCCAGGCAGGAGGAGGAGCGAGGACCGCCAGGCAGGAGGAGGAGGAGGAGGTGTGTGCAGGGCCGGTTTTAAGCCTATTTGACCAATTTAATCAAATTGGGCCCCGCGCCGCAAGGGGGCCCCGCACACACGTGTGTTAGTTTTAAACTGTATACGATATTGGTAAAAAAGCTAACGTTAGACACAAAATCATTGTTATTGTCATCAAAATAATAGATCCCAGTCACGTGCGAGAATTTTCTGTTTTGTCAAAAGTCCAAGGGAATTAACTCTGGTGTTGGTCCACACGCCCTGACTTTCATAATCATTTACAGGAGCGGGAAGGGTGCGAGCCAATCAGAACACAGTTTTCACTCTCTCCCAACGCTTGGACGGTGTAAGTGTGTCGGGTCTGTATTTTTGGCTGTTTTCAGGGGGAAATACGAGTGATAACGTTGTGCTGTGTATATCAGCATGTCCTGTAATAACCAGTGAATCAGTGATCATCGTCAGACAGTGACAAAACTCCGGTCGTTGCCATAGACATGATTTGAGATGAGTTTTGCAGTGTTGACCTTGAAAATGAGAAGCATGGCCACTGGGTGGCGACCGAGGCGTGGTTTGTTTATAATTTTTGTGCTGGACAGTGATGATAATTGTTGATCCTGAGTACATGATTGATAGCGACAATAGCGATGATGAATCAGAAAATGACTTGTGATTCTGAGCACATGCAAGCACATACTATAGCTCTATGTAGGTAACCGAATCTTTGCGTACGTAGCGGTGTGCTATCCATGCCAAAGTGTTATATGTCCGGTTAAAGCTTTTTTTGTCCGGTGAAGTGGTGATAAACATTGTGTGGTTTTTATTTTATAGGATCAGTGTTTCGATTTTTTGTTTTAATTATAGCATTCATATATGCACATACTTATTTTTTAAGTGCCAGGGACTTCTCATTGTGAATAATTTTGTTCGTTTTTTCATTTCAGTTTATTATATGTCATTTCTGAAAAGATAATATAAAAAGCCCTTTCATCATGGCAAGCACAAGCAGAGATAGAGGCAGAGGGCGTAAGTATTTAAATGGCAACCAGAAGCGAGCACTGGCAAAGGCAAAGGTGCTTGAAAATGAAAAACATCGAGGTGCTATCAAAAAATTTCTTGTCACTCCACCTTTGAAACGCCCATGTATTGAAGATGAAGAAGACAAAAACGATTCAGAAAATGACAATACAGCCATTAGTCCAATTACAGTTGATGAATACAATGAAGAAATTGATATTCAGTTTGAAAAAGTTCAAGTTGACACACAGACACAGTTGAATCAAACTGAAGACGATCTTAATACAACAGAAGACAGTGCCAAAGTGAGAAGTCCACTTATAGCTAAAGAAGAGTCAGAAGGCCAAGCCCAAACATCAAACAGTGATGGATCATCCACAAGTACAGTTGTAATTAACATTAATGATGACCCGGCAAGTTGGCCATCGAATATAAATAGAAATATAAGAGATTATTTAACAATGAAAGGGCCTCCTGATATTCCAGTGAACAAGTTTCCACGAAATGAAAAGGGATTGTGTTTTTCTAAGTTTCACTGTATTGACAAAGAACGTGAACTAACTATTAATAAACATGCAAAGTACTGGCAGCAAGTATTCAAAAGGCTAGTGGCAATAGTGCAGTTTCTTGCTGAGAGAAATCTAGCGTTAAGAGGGACAGAAGAAAAAGTTGGTAATGAGAGTGTACACAATGGAAACTTTTTAGGTTTAGTGGAGCTGTTTGCAAAGTTTGACTCTGTTCTTGAAGAACATTTACGTAAAGTCAAGGCCAACGAAATTCATAATCACTATTTAGGAAAAGATACTCAGAATGAACTACTAGACATTATGGCTACAGCTGTTTTGAATGAGATACTGAATCGCGTAAAAGCAGCTAAGTACTATGCCATAATTTTAGACTGCACACCCGACTTGAGCCACCAGGAGCAAATGTCTCTAACGATCAGGTATGTTTCTGATGGCAACTTGGCTCCTTCAGGTGTTTATGAACATTTCATACAGTTTATGCAGGTTGAAAGTAGCACAGGAGAAAATTTATATAAAACATTATTAAACACACTAGAGCAGGGGTGGGCAACCCTTGGCACGCGTGCCAAACATGGCACGCTAACGGCTTCTTTCCGGCACGCGAGACCCGGGCTCACCTCAATAAAAAAAAACCTTTATATGGCAACCGCATGCCGCCTTGGCGGCAGCCGGTGGAAGGATTGTTTCCCGTTCTGTTGTTAAATAATTAGCCATGCGGCCAGATGTGGTGTGACTCCTTTACCATCATTAATATTTTATATATTTTTTCGAGTTTTGCAGTTAAGCAAAGAATTTATCGGTTAGCAAAATCCAAGTTCAGCTATATGAATGTTTAAATTTAATTAAAAGAAAAACAAATATTACACCAAGATCTGTAATAATTATCTGGCTATCAGAGATTGCATTAAAAACATTATATCAAAAGTCAACCTCTTTTAGATCACTGGGTCATTATATGGCACATTAACTTAAAAGGTGTCTTAACTTTCATGGAAGGGAACATGGCTTTTTTGCTCAGTGTCCCATAAATGTCACATGCATATCCGTTCTCTCTAATCATTGTTCCTCTGGTGGTGAATGTGTGAAGTGTGAACCAGCAAAGTAAACATAGCAAGAGGGAGAATCGCTGACCACGTGCAAGTAAGCTTTTATTTACTGTCCAAATTATCAGCTGTCATAGTGTTTGTCATGCTTACCCATAAATTTATCGATGTTCCTAAGACACTGCTGAATCTGTATACTCCTGTGCACAAGGAAAATTTGGCGCAACTTACCTTAGCAAGGCGATTTAAATTTTGCCCCTAAAATGTGACCTTTTTTAAGCTGAATAATAGATCTCACCCCGCTTAAGTGAGTAAAGCAAACCTTTGCTGAAAATTTTATGAACTTGTTGGTAGTGAGTATATTTATGGAGCGTGACATATCTGGCACACTGGTCAGAAGGTCCAAAAGAGGTTAATGAAGCCTGTTCTTCAGCATACTGTATGTGCCATAAACATAAGTTATTATTAAAGCTAAGGGAAATGTATTATTAATATTCAGGATTATGAAGTGTTATCTGCACGTGATCAGATAGCATGCATGCCTTTCTCGTTGATTTGCATTGTGTAGGCATGCCTATAATTGTACCAATTTATTTTATTTTTTATTTTTTTATTATCCACCAACTGATTTTCATAAACCTTGGTATATGTATGCAGAGAGTTGTTTGTAGGACTTCTTCTGTGAAGAGACATTTTGAAACTGTTCATAAAAACTTAAGTAATGTAACTGAGCAAGAACGAAGAGAATTAATTTCTCGTGAAATGATTAAGACAAAAAAACAGTCTGATGTTTTGATGAAATTTATTTCAGGTAGGCCAAGTTCCAACTTAGTTGCTGCTGGTTTTGAGGTTTCAAAAGTTATTGCCCAACATGGAAAGCCACTCAGTGATGGGGAGTATATTAAAGAAGCATGGCTAGAATGTGCTCCTTTCCTTTTTGATAACCTTTCAGAAAAGGACAAGATTATTCAGCGCATTAAAGATTTGTCTGAGTAGAAAAACAGTTAAGGATAGGATACTTAAGATGGAAATGAATACAACTGACCAATTAACAAAGGATTTAGCTTCATGTAAGTTCTTTTCTATTTGTGTTGATGAAAGCACAGATATTACATCATCAGCTAGGCTAGCAATTTTTTCTCGATTTTGTAGGGATGATGAGGTATGCGAAGAGATGATTAACCTTGTAACACTACCTGAGCGTACCACTGGGGCTGACATATGTAAAGCAGTTGTGAACGAATTATCTATTCGACAAATTGACATTTCAAAAGTAGTATCCGTCACAACAGATGGTGCACCCAGTATGATTGGTAAGGAAGCAGGATTTGTAAATCTGTTTGCAAAACATGTTGGTCATCCGCTGATAGGTTTTCATTGCATCATACATGAGGAGGCTTTATGTGCTAAAGCTGGTCTAAGGGAACTTCAAGAAGTGATGCAAACAGTCACCAAGGTTGTTAATTACATTTCTGCACGTGCCTTAAATAAAAGACAATTTCGGAATTTATTGAATGAGGTGGATTCGGTGTACAAAGGACTAACAATGTACAACAATGTTCGTTGGCTTAGTCGAGGATTTGTTTTGAAACGATTTGTTGAATGCATGGATGAGATAAATCTCTTTCTGATTAACCAACAAATGTCTTATAAAGAAATGTCTGACATCGTGTGGGTTTGTAAACTAATGTTTTTTGCAGATTTATGTGAACATTTAAATGACTTAAATGTTAAATTACAAGGCTCTGGTAAGACACTTGATGTTATGTTTGATTACATAAAGGCATTTGAAATGAAACTAGGAGTTTTTAAGAGGGATGTAGATAGTGAAAGATTTAGATACTTTCCAAACCTAAAGAAATACATCAATGATCTCACAAAGGATGACAAAACAGACTGCCAGTGTCTTCAGAAGCTATTTGTAAACATCATTGAGTCAACTGTTGAGCAGTTCTCAACAAGATTTGCTAGGTTCAGAGAATTAGAAGAGACTGCAAAATTCATTAAGTTTCCAGACAGTATAAAACTGGATGAACTAAACTTGCAGAAGTTTTCATGGATAGATATGGATGATTTTGAAATGCAATTGATTGAATTTCAAACTAGCTCAATTTGGAGGCAGAAATTTGTTGAGCTTAGAGCTGACTTGGAAAGTATTGAAAAGGATCAATTAGAGAAGGGAGTAAGAGAGAGAAATGCCGAAAACGAGGTACTGAGGACTTGGAATACTATTCCAGAAACTTTTGTCTGTTTAAAAAAACTTGCAACAACATTACTATCCATTTTTTCATCTACATATTCTTGTGAATCATTGTTCTCAGTGATGAACTCTGTTAAGTCTCATAATAGAAGTAGCCTTACTGATGAAACTAGTAGCGCATGTATATCTCTCAAGGTTACAAAATATAAACCGGATATAAATTATCTATCATCAGGGATGCAGCAGCAGAAGTCTCATTGATTCTAAATAAAGAAAAGGTTCACAATTATTCGTTCTCTAATTTTCATTTGATGTATTCTGTTAAAAATATTAAGGATTCGCTTTGGTTTAATATAATACAGTGTGTATTTTTGTAGGTAAAATAACTTTTATATTTTCTCTGTGGTTTTTATGCATCATTCATAAAGGATTAAGAATCAATAAAAGAATATCTTTAGTTTTATATCCTTTTATTGTGTTTTAGTCGAGTAAATCGATATTGAGCTTGGTATTGAAAAGGTTCTCCCATTACGTAAAAGATACCAAATAATATGTGACCCGGAAATTTTGGTTGGCACGAGAGAAAATTTTGTATCAAAGATTTGGTCGATTTTGGCACACACACTCAAAAAGGTTGCCCACCCCTGCACTAGAGGAATTAAAATTGGATGTGAAAGACATTCGAGGCCAAGGTTATGACAACGGTAGCAACATGAAAGGTCACACATCGGGAGTACAAGCACGGCTGTTGCAGGATAATCCAAGAGCCTTCTTTGTACCCTGCGCATGTCACAATTATAACCTGTTACTAGGAGATGTAGCCAAGTGCTGTCCAGATGCTATAACATTTTTTGGGATCTTGCAAAGGATCTACATAATGTTCTCAGCATCAACAAAGAGGTGGGCAGTTTTTAAGAACCATGTACCTGGGTTATCAGTGAAACCCTTGAGCGACACAAGGTGGGAGTGTCGGATTGATAGTGTTAAAGCTATTCGTTATCAGGTTGGAGAAGTATATGATGCACTTGTGGAAACATCAGAGATAACAGATGAGCCCAAGGTAAAAGCAGAGACAGAAGGTTTAGCAAACCAGCTAAAAGACTATAAATTTTTAGTTTCTTTGATATTTTGGCATGATTTACTTTTTAAAGTTAACTATGTTAGCAAGGAACTACAAGGTAAAACAAAGGACATTGATGAAGGCATGGAGTCATTTGAAAAACTATTATCATGGCTAAGAAAATATAGAGAGAGTGGTTTTAATGATGTCCTAATAGGCGCAAATGATTTGGCTGAAGCTGTTGAATTACCACTAGAATTTAGGAAATTTCAAGATAAACGACTACAAAGAAGGAAGAGAATGTTTTCATATGAGGCAAAAGATCAAGCTTTTGATGATCCAAAAGAAGCATATAGAGTTCAGTGCTTTACCTTAGTGCTAGACAAAGCTATTCAATCTCCAGAATCTAGATTTATGCAGCTTAAAAGCCATATAAAATTATTTGGATTTTTAAATAACTTTCAGGGCTTACAAAAGGCAGAAATAAGGAAACACACAGTAGACCTTGAAGCAGCTTTAATTGACACCAAACTAAAACAGAACACTGATGTAGAGGTAGGTACTGTAACAAGTAAAGATGTAGATGGTTATCTGTTGGCTGAAGAACTTGAAGCTCTGAAAACTTTTCTGCCCACCAGTGTCGCCAAGCCCCAAGCCCTGTTTGAATACCTGGTAGTAAACAATCGATTCACTGCATTTCCTAATGTTTTTGTTGCTTTGAGAATTTACTTAACAATGCCCGTAACAGTCGCATCGGGTGAGAGAAGTTTTTCTAAACTAAAATTGATTAAAACATACTTACGGTCAACAATTTCACAAGAAAGACTAAACAATTTGGCGATGCTATCTATAGAAAGTGACATTACCAAAACCCTTGACTTTAAAATGATTTTGAAAGATTTTGCAAATAAAAAAGCCAGAAAAGTGTGTTTCTAAAAGGTCCGTGCATAAACAGTTTGTCTGTAATTGTCTTAACTTGTAATAAAAAATCAAAACTTTTATACTGTTTTTAAACTTTTAGTATATCAAGTAATTAATGCTTTTTGGCTAAGGCGGGCATACTACACGAAATATAAAACATCAATCTTCGACTTTGTAGAGTAGAGGGCCCCACTATCAATTTTCTAATTGGGCCCCGCAATTCCTAGCACCGGCCCTGGTGGTGGAGGTCATCACAGGTAGGCGAACATTTTTTTGGAAACCAAGACAATCTTCTTTTTCAAAGCCTGTTTTAATTCCTTAATTTCCTTCTTGGTCATCTTTCCCTTGGCCTCTCTCTTGGCCAAGGCATTTATCTTCTTGGCCGAAGTTGGATGTTTCTTTCCCTTGACCTCTCTCTTGGCCAGGGCATTTATCTTCTTGGCCGAAACTGGGTGTTTCTTTCCCTTGGCCTCTCTCTTGGCCGAAACTGGGTGTTTCTTTCCCTTGGCCTCTCTCTTGGCCGAAACTGGGTGTTTCTTTCCCTTGGCCTCTCTCTTGGCCGAAACTGGGTGTTTCTTTCCCTTGGCCTCTCTCTTGGCCGAAACTGGGTGTTTCTTTCCCTTGGCCTCTCTTGGCAAAGCTGGAGTGTTCTTTCCTTAGCCTCTCTCTTGGCAAAAGCTGGAGTTCTTTCATGGCCTCTCTCTCTTGGCCAAAAGCTGGGTGTTCTTTCCTTGGCCTCTCTCTCTCTTGGCCGAAGCTGGGTGTTTCTTTCCCTTGGCCTCTCTCTTGGCCAAAGCTGGGTGTTTCTTTCCCTTGGCCTCTCTCTTGGCCAAAGCTGGGTGTTTCTTTCCCTTGGCCTCTCTCTTGGCCGAAGCTGGGTGTTTCTTTCCCTTGGCCTCTCTCTTGGCCAAAGCTGGGTGTTTCTTTCCCTTGGCCTCTCTCTTGGCCAAAGCTGGGTGTTTCTTTCCCTTGGCCTCTCTCTTGGCCAAAGCTGGGTGTTTCTTTCCCTTGGCCTCTCTCTTGGCCAAAGCTGGGTGTTTCTTTCCCTTGGCCTCTCTCTTGGCCAAAGCTGGGTGTTTCTTTCCCTTGGCCTCTCTCTTGGCCAAAGCTGGGTGTTTCTTTCCCTTGGCCTCTCTCTTGGCCGAAACTGGGTGTTTCTTTCCCTTGGCCTCTCTCTTGGCCGAAACTGGGTGTTTCTTTCCCTTGGCCTCTCTCTTGGCCGAAACTGGGTGTTTCTTTCCCTTGGCCTCTCTCTTGGCCAAAGCTGGGTGTTTCTTTCCCTTGGCCTCTCTCTTGGCCAAAGCTGGGTGTTTCTTTCCCTTGGCCTGGTACGTCTTGTTCTTCGTCGAGGCCGTTTTGTTGCGTGTTTGGGGTCCCCAGAGCCAGTTGCGGACGGCGGCGCTAATTAATGAGGAGGAATCGGTGTTGTCCTGGTCACGGCCGGATTTCCTGCATGGGCACTGACAGAGGATCATTTTGCCAGACAAAAAATCTTTGAGACGGAGGAGGAGATCTTTCACGTCCTCCTCACGGTCAGGAAGGTTCTCGGGGGAGGGTGATACGGTCTGGGCGCTGTTGGCAGGCGACTCGGCGTTCTCCACCTGGTCCTCGCTGACGAAGGGGCTGGTGAATGAGCAGCAACACACCACCTCATGCTTCTGCAGCAGTTGGGCCTCCGACAATTCTCTAGTAATTGCCACCAGAAATATTAAAAAACTGAACTTCATTTTAAAAAGGAGTTTCTATTCAAAACGTATTGTCCGTTTATTTACATTTGATTTGTGTATATGATAACTTTCCCAGATCATGACACAC